GCTGGCTTAATGAGTTTTAAATAATTATTTACTCATGAAACTAATGTTTTGAGTATAGATTGAGTTGGATATTTTTTGTGAGTGTTAATGATAACAGTGTCAAAAAATGAGTCTCTTTCCTGAGGAAGCTTAAATTCTAGTAGTGGAAGGCAGATAATACATAAATAAATGGGTGGATAGATAGTATGTACTCTTTAAACCACAGGTACTGTTTTAGTGCTTTTATATACTTAGAACTAGAGGGAAGAATAAAGCAGCGCAAGGGGAAAAGGAAACATGGTGGTGGAGATGTAGTTTTTTTAAAAAAATATTTTTTAGATGATTAGACCTTTATTTTATTCATTTACTTATATGTGGTGCTGAGAATCAAACTCAGTGCCTCACACATGTTAGGCAAGCACTCTACCACTGAGCCACAGCCTCAGCTGCAAGATGTAGTTTTAAATGGGATAGTTAGGGAACATGGCATTGACAGGGGACCTCAGCAGGGTTAGGAAATGGAAAGAACCATGCAGATACATGGGGGAGAGCATTCAGACAGAAATAACCAGAGCACGTGCTGTCAGGTTGCAACATACTTTACTCTTTGGAAGAGAACAAGGACAGAAAGGGTGGAGCAAAGTGAGAAGGAGAAAGTAGGACAATAGGCATTGAGAGTGTTAGGACACATGTAGGTTATTTATAGGATCCACAGGTGACTGTAAAACATTGCTTTTTCTTGGTGGATTTTGAGCAGTGGAGTGATAAGGTATTACTTACTTTAAATCTGTTTCAGGTACTTAACTGCTAATTAGCTTGACCATAATAATCAATCCACAAATTATTAATTTGGGGTATAGAAAGTTCAAAATGAAGAGGGAGTGTGGGATGACAGGAAGTGGGACTTCTGGTCAGTAGGAAGTGTCTTTTAGGATTCAGTGAAATTCCCAAATTGTTTGAGTTATGTAACTCTAAACTTTTGAGTTTTTCTTCCTGATGATTGTACAGTTTGGCTTATTTTCTTGTCATCTGTGTTCTAAAGATTCTTAACTGCCTTTGTAGCTCAAATCTAATGTATACTTGCTGTGTGACTTCTGAAAGTGCTAATGTTGCACTGTTATTTGGATGCCTTAATAATTTACTTAAATCATTCCCTGTTTTATTAGTATACGCAGTATTCCTAATGTCTGTTGTGATTTCAGAGTTAGCCTTTGTCTTGGAATTTTTCTTGAGGTTCATGACTCTAGTTTGGTTGAAGACAGGCTTTCAGAGCTTCATGTTTGCTCATGTGCTATGCTCACATTTATTCCATAAACATCCTAAAATAAGCAGTTCAAATATTGTAAGAGAAAGATCTTCTGAAAAACAAGGCTCATGAGAAACTAGTTGCAGAGTTCATCATACACACACACACACACACACACACACGGTCTGAAGTGTCACAAAATCAACAAGGAATAGTGGCTGTAAGTTACCCTGCATTTTTAGGACTTTTGGAAAGTCATAAAGTAGGTCTTGTTTCTCTGTATAACCTTATTTTTAAATTTTATTGAAGAATAAAATTTTAATAATACTTCACTTTTGTCTGGAAGGAAGCTGATCATAAGCATCTTTTTTTTAAGGCATTTTGAGGTCAGAACCTCTTTCGATCTCCCAGTACTGTGAAAGACACTGCCAAAAGATGCTTTTCTCTTCACTTACACAAGGAGAAATAATGTACCTTCTCCTTTTCTTTCTCTACTTATTGTTCTATGTAAAGTCCAACTTTATTTTATTTGAGCTATCTGAACTTTTATTTTAAAAGTTTAGTGATGAATATCTGTGTTGAAGCTTTTAATTCTCTGATCATTTGTCTTTTGTTAGATTAGCAGACTGTAACAATAGGTGACATTGGTGTCAGAGTGCTGTGTGACTCTTGCATTGCAAGCAGTGCTCCATCTAGAGGATTTAGAAGAAGTATTACAGTCCACCCTAATTATCCACAAATTTGCAAATATTATAAATTTATAAAATTATAAATAAATTTATAACATTCAAATAAATAGTTGTAGCACATTCATAGTCATTTATGGACATGTACATGTCAGAACATTTGATCGAACTGACATGCATATTTCCAACAAGGAAAGAGATCAGGAGGATGCTGCTCTGCCTCCTTGTTTCAGCTCTCATACTATGAACAATGTCCTTTCCATGGTCTGTAGTAGTACATTTTCTCTGCTATTTGTGTTTTTTGTTGGTGATTGTGTTGCTTAAAATGACCCCCCGGGGCTGGGGCTGAGGCTCAGCAATAGTGAACCTGCCTGGCATGTGTGAGGCACTGGGTTCAATTCTCAGCATTGCATATAAATAAATAAAATAAAGGTCTATCAATAATAAAAATATTTTGGAAAAAAATGATCCCCAGGCATACTGCTGAATTACTGCTTAATGAGCTAAGGCTCAAGAAGTCTGTGATGTGTACCTTATGGAGAAAATAATGTGTGTTAGGTAAACTTCATTTAGGCATGAGTTATAATGCCATTGACTGTGAGTTCAATGCTAATGAGTCTGTAATGTATATTAAATAAGATATCTTTAATCACAAACACACATAAAAGAGGTTATGCATTGATTGGTTGATGAAAATGTGACCAGAGGCTTGTAGGATCTGTATTTTTCTCTAGGAGGAATGGCTCAGTATTTGCTGATTTCGTGATTGCAGTAACTTCATGGAACAAAATCACTGTAAATAATGAGAATTAACTATTTATTTAAGCATGGTGTTTTATAGAGTCTTAAGGTATTGGAAACATCTTGTAATTCCCTCCCTGTGAAACTATTGTTGCTGGTATGTTTAAATATTTGTATGCAACTTTACAATGTAAAATCTAATGTTACTGGGGGTTCTGGTCAAAAAAGGCTAAATTACATTGGTTAATATTTAAAGAAAGGCTGTGAATGTAGCTCAGTGGTGGAGCACCTGTCTAGCATACACGAAGCTTAATCCCCAATACCATCCCCCACCCAAGTAAAGAAACATTTCTTACGTTAAAATTTTTTGGTAGTACTGGGGTTGAGTCTAAAGAGACACTAAAGAAGGCAATATCAATGTTAAAGAATTCTTCCAGTGGCTCGGAAGGCTGAGACAGGAGAATCTTGAGTTTGAAGCCAGCCTCAGCAATGTTGAGGTGCTAAGCAACTAAGTGAGACATTGTCTCTACAAAATAGGGATGGGGATGTGGCTCAGTGGTCAAGTGCCTCTGAGTCCAATCACAGGTACCCAAAGGGAAAAAAGCATAATATTCTTTTAGGATTTTATCATGTTGTTTTTGTACAGTGAGGTACAAGAAAGAAGACTTGGGTGTCAGATTCTTGTGTGTGTTTTACATGAAGCTAGTTGTAGCTAACTAGCTTGAGAAATTCATGTGAGTTCTTCCAGCCTTAGTTCCTTGAGTGTGAAGTGAGGAACATTTTCAGTTTAAAAATTCTGTGGTTTTCTTTTATCAGTATTATTCCTGACCTTGAGTCAGTTCCATTCTCATCAGATTGCCAAGGAAATAGTACAATTTAATGTCAAAATAGGTTAGCCATCGGATTTTATTTTACTGAACTCAAGTTGTCTCATTAGTTATTGATAAAAACATAAGTTATATATCTGATATGCTCGATATTAGGTACTTCTGCAGGTAAGAAGAAGTAAAAGAACATCCTTGATTTTTGATGGATTTTAGGGTATAGGAGTGTGTTTATTGACATTTGTGTTTTATATGTTCTAAATCATACAAAAAGTTTTCTCTAAAAACAAGATCATAATTAGAGTTTTAAAAGAAAAAAACACTTGCACTTTGGACAGAACTATTTATTAGCTTTATTAAAGTTTCAAGTTTTAGATCATGAGTGCTTAATTACTTTTTAATGTGCCTAGTGTGTTGGCATTATTTGGGTAACCTTGAACATGTCCATAGAGATACAAAGGATGAAGTTTAGGAATGAAGCATCCATACTACCAATGGCTAAAAAGCAATTTATTTTGAAGTATTGTTATCTAGTCTTCATGCAGTTTTAAAAAATCATACTGTGGTTATGTAATTACCTGAAATTTCCCCTTAGCATAATATTATATAAACATCCATGTTTTCACAAAGTTTCATGAACATCATGTTTAAGGATTATACTGTATGTCCCGTCTCACAGAATTCTTTTATCTTGAACATCTGGGTTTTTATTTTTATTTRTATTCTTTATTGTTTCTCTCTCTATTTTTTTTTTTGCTTTTGTGGATAGAGCTGCAGTGAGCATCCTCTGTATAATTTTTTTTTTCTTTCTGTTTTAGGATTACTTCGTTAGGATAGATTGCCAGAAGTGGAGTTACTGGGTCAGAGGGTATGAACTTAAGAAAATTTTTCCTTTTTTTTAAAAAATAAAAGTGTTTTGTTTATTTGCTTCCCAGTTGATTTATATTGTCAAAAATGCAAATCATAATGATTATATTTGTTACCTGTCAAAACACTGTGTCTGAGACAAGATTCTATAATCAGAGAAGTTTGGGAAATTCATAGGATACTGAGCTTTTCAACTTGATTTACCTTTGCATTTTCTGAACTTGACTGAGCACTGAATAGTTTTTTTGTGATATACTTCATAACATTTTGTGGAAGTTTTACACAGGATACAGTTTATGAACTACTGATCTAAAATTTAAAATCATTTTATTGGTTAAGTTATATTTTATTAGCCAAAACAAATTAAATTATAAAGTTTTAAGCTAAGAATTATTAAAAGAAAGATGTTGCAATAAATCTGGTTGCTGTATAATTTGGGGAAATTCTCATATAACTTTTATAATTTAAACTTTCTGTATTGATTACTAAAGAGCATCTTAATGACTTGATGGCATTAGATACTTTTTACAATCTTTAATGATATTTAATATATATGTGTGTGTGTTATATATATATATATATATATATTTGTGTGTGTGAAATTAGAAGATAATATGGATATAAAAACCTAATTTTTCCTCCCATTTTCCCCTGCAGAATGTGAAAACCTTTTCATCTTCTGATAGTCTAGCCAAGGTCCAAGAAGTAGCAAGCTGGCTTTTGGAAATGAATCAGGAACTGCTCTCTGTGGGCAGCAAAAGACGACGAACTGGAGGTTCTCTGAGAGGTAACCCTTCCTCAAGCCAGGCAGATGAGGAACAGATGAATCGTGTAGTAGAGGAGGAACAGCAGCAGCAGCAGCAGCAGCAGCAGCAACAGCAGCAACTGAGACAACAAGAGGAGGAGCACACTGCAAGGAATGGTGAAGTTGTTGGAGTAGAACCTAGACCTGGAGACCAAAGTGACTCCCAGCAAGGACAAGTGGAAGAAAACAATAATCGATTTATTTCAGTAGATGAGGACTCCTCAGGAAATCAAGAGGAACAAGAGGAAGATGAAGAACACGCTGGTGAACAAGATGAGGAGGATGAAGAGGAGGAGGAAATGGACCAGGAGAGTGATGATTTTGATCAGTCTGATGACAGTAGCAGAGAAGATGAACATACTCATAGTAACAGTGTCACAAACTCCAGTAGTATTGTGGACCTACCCATTCACCAACTCTCCTCCCCATTCTATACAAAGACAACAAAAGTGAGTATAATCGATCTGTTAACCTGAAACACTTTACAACTCTATTTTAATTGCAGTGAAATTTTCCTCATGTCTTTTTATTACTGCAAATTAATTTTCACAAATATAATAAAATGATTTAATTTTTGTTTTACAGAAGTTATTAGAAAGTATTACGAATAGAAATATTAATAATGGGACAATCTTATCACAAATGGGGAGATGGTAATTGGTTCTGTCACTATGAAAAATTATTAACATCAAATTGTCTTCTAAAATTTTCCCTAGCACAGGGATTAGCAAATCGTGTTTGCGGTGTAGAAGGTTGGGGGAGAATATAATTTTTCTAAATCAAGTACTGAAGAGTTTGTTTTTTGTTTTGTTTTAAAAAATAAAAGCTGGATGCTATGGGCTGTGTATCTACAAGTGGTATGCTAAGGCATGTTACTGGAAGTTGCCTCAAATTAGTTATTATTATTTTTTTAATCATTGGAAAATTAGATAACTTTTGCACTGCTATGACAAAATACCCTACAAGAGCTAATTAGAGGAGAAAAAATTTATTTGGGGCTCACAGTTTCAGAGGTCTCTTTTACATAGATGACCAACTCCATTGTTCTAGGCCCAAGTTGAGGCAGCACATCATGAGGGGAGGAGACCAGAGCTGGAAAGCTGCTCAGCTCATGGGGGAGTCGGGAAGCCCAGAGAGAGGAGGGAGGGAGAAGTGCCTTCCCCTTCTGAGGCGCATGGCTCCTCTATTAATACCCCACCTGCCTACAGTTACCACCCAGTTAGTTAGTTCATTGAAACTGAGATGGTCTGATTAGGTTACAGCTCCTATAAACCCAACCATGTCGTCTCTGAATATTCCTGCATTAACAAGAGCTTTTGATGGTGGTGGGGGGATACCTTGTATCCAACCATAACAAATAGAACTCATAAATACCTGTGTATAATAGACATCTGAGTTTTAGTTTGAAATGGAACATTTTACTTTGAATAGTAGCTTATTCATTTCACAAAACAATAATGTCTGTAGTAGTTCATCTTCTAATCCTGTTTGCTTATTTGTAAATTTCACAGTGAATTGTTGTAGATGATAAGCAGTATACAAACAGATGTAACATCATCTCCTTTGACCTGGAATGAGGTATCTGACGCACTTGGATTAAAACTGGAATTACTAAATCATTTTTGTTTCATCTTGTAAAACTTAAATTCTTTCTAAAACATGTTTATCCCTAATTTCCATGGCTTGTCCACAAGTTGGATTTTATTTAGCTGGTGATCTTCTAAGAAGGAAGTGGYGTCAAGTAGCGGTGTCATCCACTTTCTCATCCACATCTCAAAAAGTTGAATAGTCGCTTTGAATTTCAGCCAGGTGGATCCATGACTGACAACTTTAGCCTTGCTTTGTTAGTAAGGCTCAAGTCTTATATACTACCATTCCCCCAGCTTTTGCCATCTGGTATTCCTCCTCCTCTTCTTCCTCTTCCTCTTCTATCTCCTTATCTATTTTATTTCCATTAGAAAAACATTATCTGCATAAAATTTTGGTCCACTCTCTTCTCGTTTACCTCTGCCATTCAAGTTGGAATATTTTGCCCAAGTAAAAGCAGAATCACATATTTGATTTGAGGGCTGAATATTTCATATCATTAAATTAATAGGACTTAATAAGTTTCCTACGTGTTATTTTCCTACGTGTTATCTTCCTTGTACTTCTATTTACTTGAGTGACTATGTAACGAGTATCTCTTCTCCTATATTCAGCAATATGAGTGTACCGAAGTATAATTGTATCATCAGTAGTTGGATTTATTATCTAATATTCAATGTTGTCAAATCCCTCAATGATATGGTCTTTCCATGATAACTTGAGATATTTTAGTCACACATTACACTTTCTAGCATCCCTTGTAAAAATCACGATATTAACTTAAAGACGCGATGAGAACAACACTATGCCCATTTACACACACACTATATACTGCTGTGAGAAGTCTTTGGACACCTACTGCTTGAGTCTCAATCCAGCCTTCTTTGGATAAATCAGCAACCTAGTAAGCAGAACAATTACTCTTGAAATTCTGTTTGTAGATTTCATTGCTAGTATTGAAATCATTTATGTTAGCCAGCCAAATAGTTGCTTTGAGTGCATTAGTGAAATCACAGCCTGCAGCTTTTAGAATTTCACCCTTAAAGAGCTTGTTTAGCTTCTGCTGCTACCCATCCTGGTACAAGTTGTCTGCTCGAAGGGTCCGTGCTTATCTGTCCAGGGATGTAAATGGTCCTGTTGACCAACACTGCATGACTGTGGTATCTGGGGAAGTGCCTTTTTGATCAGGGCTGACATGACTAGTCCTTCTTTCTCATGCCCCTCTTGGAGAAGAGACCCTTACACCACCCCTGCCCAGTTCTTATCCAGTGACTGACCAGCCTCAGGCAGGCTGCTGGAAGATCCAGCCCAGGGAAAGCTCACTGGACTGGTCACTAGTCTTCTGCCACTCCCTTAAGGTTACACATATCAAAAGAGGAAGCTTATATCTCCCTTTTTCTAAAAATTCAGGTAGAGGAATGGGTGTTTAGTATTGAAAATGCAATGCATTTTCTTATTTAAGAAAGAAGTTTAATCAAAATTAAGCCCTGATGAACAATACAAAGCTGTTGCAGATTTCTGTTATACTTTAAATAAAAAAGGTATCTAAGCAAAACATCTTTTTTTGCAAGAGGAGAAACTGGCATAACATTCTGTTGGAAAGCTACCACTACACAGGTTTGACAGATGCTTTGACCTTCCTTTACTTTAAAGATGAAGCCATAAACAGAACTTTAGGTATATCTAATATAGTCATATTATTATCTCTTAAGTACACCCAGTTAATGGAGTGTTTTCGTCCTTGTGATTCTCAGTCACACACACACACACACACAAAATTACTGGGTTATACCTACAAGACAGCAGCAGAGATGGACATATGTGTACATATGTGTTTTTATATGTATCTTGGATATATTGTTCATCATGAAGTCATTTGTCTTCATAAATATGACATGAAGACTGTAAAGCTGTTGGATTCCCAACACAGCAATACCTTTCTACAGAGTAGAATTTCAGAGTAAAATTGATCTGAATGTTTTTCTTTTTGTCCATTCATGAAAGTCATTTTTAAGTTCATTTCCAGAATGCTTTTCCAACATTTTAAAAAGTCATCTATTACTGCATTGCTTTAGAAGAAAATGTCAGTCATCCATGTACCTAGTTTTTAAAATATGGTGAATAGGGTGAAACTCTCACTAGTTCAACTACTTTATTTGGGGAGATCTTTAAACTATTGATCATTATAAGCATAAGACAGTTTTATAAACATTACCCCTAGATCACAATTTCATCCAATTCTTATTAAACATTTACTTTTGAGAAGAATAGAGGCTATAAGATCATTTTTAAAAAACCCATTTTAAAATTTTAATACAGGATTAGCCTTCTACAGTTTTATCTGGTGTGCTTTTTGTATTTTTTCAGTCTCCTAAACAAACCTCATGTATGACTAGACTTATTTATACATCATTCCTGAATGTGTAACATTTGCATATGATATTAGTAAGAAAAAAAACTTTTAGATTCTTCCTTGCCTTGATTTATTCTTTGGGTATTGAAACCTGTCAGAACTCTGAGGGCAATCTCTCTTCCCTTCATTAGTTAACTTTGTTTTTATGGGAACTTTTGGCAAACAATAATTTTTTGAAATATTAGAATGTTAGAAATTCTAGACTGTCCTGATGTTAAAAGTCAAGAGTGGTAGTCAGGAATTGCTGTTTGTTAAGCTCATAGTGTGTGCAAGATCCCACAACAGATTAGTGAACTAAGGCTACAGAGAGGCCAAACGCTTCACCCCGTATCATACCATAATTGGCAGCTTTTAATCCTGAACTGTCCAATTTCAAAAACACCCCTTTTCCTTCCCATGTATTATGCTGCCCCCTATGGTAGAATTTGGCAAATAGTACTAAACAAGGTTTTCAACAGAACAAAATCAAAGGTTCTAGACTCTGGAATAGCATGGCTTTCTAATATTATGTCACATTTGCAATATTCAGAGTTACCCTTTAGAAAGTAGAGAGCACTCAGTCAAGGATTTTTCTTTGTGGTATTTAACAGAGCATTATGGAAAATATGGGGCCCCAGGGCTAAAGTTGTTACAGGAAGAAATGACAATGTAAAAAAGAAATTTGAGACAAGATTATACAGATCACTAGGTGCCCTCAAATGTGCTTCTTAACCATAGGTCGATTATGTACTGACTGTTTCTCTTAATTTGACTAGTTTTCCTGTAAATTCTAGAGTCAGCTTGCTTCTGCAGGTATGAATAATATCTTTACAGTTTTAACTCTGTTATAAAAGTGTTATTGTATTTTTAAAAATTGAACCTTTGACATGCTTTTTGAAAAGTATCGACTTATTTTCTTTCTTTCTTATTGTTTTAATTTTGCCAACTCATTTTTTACTAATATGAAAAGCACATGAGATTACCATTAGGACAGGTTTAGAATCTGCCTGGTTTTTTCATGAAAAGCAGCATATTTGAGAATTAATTTCTGATGCTTCTATATCTGTCTTGGTGTCTTGCATCTGTGACTTCATTGCTCACCTAAATTTTATTTATTAATTTTTTCTGTATCCTGATTGTTACATTCTTCTTGGTAACTAAGCAGTTTTTTTCCTGTTTTAATATGTATATTAAAAGAAATAGTATGTTGAGTGTATTGGAATCTAAGGGCTAGAGATACTTTCTTGTCCCTGTGTTCTAAATAATAGAGGAATTAAGCATAGGTATCAGGGGATCAACATAACAGTTTTGTTTTGTGTCACCATCCTTCAACCACCCCCTAGAATCAGAAATGCTGGGAAACTTCATTGGATAATGTGGCTAACATCTGAAACCTAATAGAGCTTTAAGTTGCTCTAGAGAATGATGACTTCCTCTGAAATTCTCTGGTATAGTCTACTTGGAAGACAA